TGTGTGTGCTGTTCAACCGACCCGCGCTGGAACTCGACGCCGAGAGCTGACTGTGACTTACTGACTCTGAGCAACCGCCTACTTGGAGGTTATGGCTCTGACCTCAGCCTGCTAATGCATCAGTCGCGCTTCGACGCCCAAGCTACCATTGGTTAAGCCTGTCGACCCCATGGCAACGCAAAAGTCAGGTCAGCCTGGTCGGCCCCTAGACCCCTCACCACCACCACCAACCCCGGTGAACACGCACGCACACACATGCACAGAAGCCCCAAATCGCGTGCGCGAGGTTAGCAAACTGCTGCCGATGAGTCGTGTTACCGCTATCGGATTGGCCAGAACAATAATGATTATGGTGAAGATAATAGTTCTGTTTAGTGCCTATGTGGACAATGTCACTATAAAAATACATTCAGGCTTCAATCGCAGAACGAATTAAGGTGGTAAATTTGTGTTTCTAGCCGGCAGACAGAGGATAAAAATGAGCAAATGTTGAAAATAAAACTCTTCAAAGATTAGCTGGAAAGGAATAAGATGAATGTTATTTGTTACTTTGTAAGCAGAAAAAATACTGTCATCCATGGGTGGGAAAATATATACGACAAGAAAGCCCTGCAGACGCTTAGAATCGATGCGGGGAAAGTATATGAAAGACCGCAGGGCAGGTAGATGCAACCATGATATTTTTTGCTGACCAAACTAACAACTAGTAAAGCGGCGAAACAAAGAAATTTGCCAAGTTCATCAAGGTCCATTGTAGCAACCTATCTAAATTCCAAAAGCAGTCGAACGTGAATCTTCTCGTCTGCTCAAATTTGCTTTTGAGGTCTTCCAGTATTGGTTTACGTAAGCATGCATACTTAGATGAACATCTGAGAAATTGGGAGAGTCTTTTGGAACACATTTGTGTTAGATTCACTTGATGCCACCCCTTCCCCCTAAAAACAACCGTAAAATCACCGATTAAGGGAATTTAGTGGAAGTCAAGACTGTATTGTTGGGAAAATTGAGTGTAAAAATGATCGATAATACAAGTCCTCTGTACATATCACTCATTCACTTAACAAAACCACTCCGTAAACTAACTGCACGGCGGTTTACTGAGGGAAACTACAGGAACGCCCCGCAATTCATCTCGCAATCACTGGGTGACTATGAGGTCCGGACACCCAAAGCTAAATGGATGCATCGCAGAAAGTGACACAAACCCCACATAAAATCGTGTGTACATTATTCATCTGCTTATCCTGAGGAGGTAGCAAGATGAGTGAAGGTGGTTTTGTCGCCGCGGGCGACAGTGAAGAGCGGGATTGCAGATGCACAATGTGTCATGGGTTTCAGACTCTTTAAGCATCAGGTAAGGGTGGAGTACGAAAGAATCAAAATGTTCGCGTTCCAGGTATTTGCATGGATAAAGAAGAAGGCATGTCGAGCACCGGATCGATGTGTTATCTCTGAAGATGGACTCCTGTGAGAGTTCGAAAGCTCAGGACAATAAACAAATTGCACCGGTGTTCGAAAAATCTTCTTCTTTATTCAAGGGTGGAGTAATTTTAGCATTCCAGCCACATAGTCGTCAACCCTAATCATAACCCGAAACCTAGACATTATCCTAACCCCAACGCCAGTGCAAAATGTGACCCTGACCCGTAGCTATCAGTTGGTGTCAATCGCCTCTGTGTCCTACGAATAAATAATTATTCC